ATAAGGACGATAAACCGAAGGTCCCGTCTCACAAACCTTGTTCACATATAACTCTGTGGGACGTTAAAGAACCCACACATTATTCGAAAAGAGTAGGGGACGTAGTTCCCGGTGTTGTGGTCTATCTTCATCACTTACATTATCACTCATCATGAGTTGGGAGGGTTCAGTGGGCTCATAAATGGACTGATAGCGGCTGCCATCGGCGCCCTTAGTATGCTAATGTCCGAGCCCACTGCAGAATGCTATGTAAAGAGGACATGTATGTTTGTCCTCTCAATCGCGACATTTACATTTACAGAGTTTACTACAGGCAGTTCCCTCGCAATAAGGATTCCAGATTCCACAAGTTAACAATTTCCTGGATTCAGGAATCCGGATTACCTTACATGGGGCGATAAGTGTATTGGAAATCATTGGAGGCATCTTGCTAGTGCTGGAACCAAAAGGCGCAGATCTCAGCTGAGATCTTTAATAGTTTTTGAATCAGTAATCACAGTCATACTGCTAATTTGTGACCTTTCAAGCACTTGCTACCTTTCTATTGTTAGAATCTATTTTTTTTTAAAAAATCAAAATAAACATAATGATGAATCAGCCACAATTAGGCAAGAATCACGAAAGCGAAGACACGCTTCAGTCACGTCAGTCGAACTGTGGCTGGAAGACAAATATTGAGAGTGAGAAAGGTGATCTGGAAGGATTGACACCTTGTAGCACCATTTCCTGTGATTAAATATAGCTTTTTTAATTTGGTGCTCTACGGTGTATAGGTATAAATTAAACAAGAATGTTCCTTAAATATGATTTCGTTTAGATCCAAGCTGATCAAGTTAGACCGATTAACTCAGAGCTATCTGTATTTAACGACGCTGATTACAATCGCTTTTATTTGCTTTTATATATATACTGTTAATATACTATTTACACATCTGTGCCTCCGGGATTAGGATATTACACCCTATATTGATGTGTTGTATTATTAAAAAAATATTGTTTTCTTTTCTGTGGTTAGTATACATTTCGTTGGTTGGATGAGAAAACAGAAAACGCGAGCTGTATACACAAACTCTGTCTACTTTTACAAAACTTGTGTCATTTAACGAATACAGAAGACGATTAATTGGTAATCGGCTCCTAAAGAATGTAGACAACGCTCGTGGAGTTTGCGGTCCTTGTGTCTCGTCGGCTCCTTCTCTCGTCTGGTGTCTCGCTTGGGTGAGCCCCTCCAACTTTAAGTATTATTTTGGTGCGTGTAAAAACTACGCAGGCAGATGGCAAAATCAATTAAAAGGTGTTAAGTTTTAGTCATTAATTTCAAAAGAAACTAAGGTCTCTTTAAGCCAACTAGTGAATCAGATTGAAGGATATCATAAAAACTTTTCTTAATGGGTAAACAATGTGAACTTTCTCCCCGGGCGGGGGGGGGGGGGGGGGGGGGGGGGGGGGTCCCCCAATTTTTATGTTGGGGGGGGGTGGGGGGGGGGGAAAAAAAAAAAAAAAAAAAATTTTTGGACAAAAAAAAAAACCCCCCCCAAAAACCTTCTGGTATTTTTTTGCGACTAAAAGTTTAAAAGAAAAGGTAAAAAAAAAAAACACAAAAAAAAAAAAAATACAGAAATTTTTTGTTGGGGGGGGGGGGGGGGGGGTTGGTGGGGAGGTACTCCCTGATACATGATATAAGCCATATAGGTATTGGCCGCCCCAAAGGGAGGGGCTTTTGGGCCTTTTTGGTCTGAAAACGGGTATAGACTTTGCCCATTTTGGACTGGAATCCGGATATGGTTTTCGGGGGAACTACAGGAGTGCATGAACGTAGTTCTCTTTTCATTTCCAAATGATAAAGAACATATTCGTTTGCGGTCCTTTGCAGTCTCTTGTGGTTAATGTTTGTACTTTATGAATTTTTGGGCCGTAGATCTTTTATAGAGCCGATATGCTGTAATTTTTACATGGTTTTGTCCATGTTTTTTAGGTTGGTTTTGGCCTATTCTTTATTTTCTCTGCGAGACATCAACTTGACACTTGGACTCTTGCCCCCCAGAAGACACGTGGTATGACGTGATTCTGTGGGTGTTAGGAGTTCTGGGTCAGGGCTAAAATCAGAGTGCGCGGATATTTTTTCATCAGAGCCTGATCTCTGGTTGTCACGCCATACTGACGAGCGCCAAAGAGGGCGAAGACGAGTCGTCTATGGCTACAATCCCGCTCTGTTTTGGGTTCTTACGGTGTCGTGTTGATGTCTCGCAGAGTTAATTTTCACGTAGTACGATCAGCATTGCAGTATTCTGCTTGCAGAATTTAATATGTCTACAAGACCTAAATAGAAATATGTGAATTCGAAATATTTTTGAAGAATTTTTTGTTTGCGCTCTAATCTAAGTAATGATGACATAATTTCTGCCTGAAGGCCTGGGGCTCGTTTCTTGAAAGTCCCGATAATTAACGGGCCAGTAAAGCTGTTTGGATTTACGAGAGAGGTTTCAGTAGTTTGCATCTAACATGATGAAACTGTGAAAGGTTTGAATCCAGGAGTCATTTCAAAAGTAGGTTGAGTTTGATCGTCCGGGTGAAACTATCAGTTAATGAAATAAAATGGAGTAGTTTGCTAGCCAGGAACCTACACTTGCTACAACTCGACCTCTAGGCTAGTGGAGCGAGCCTTTTTTGGGGACTTTTTTGAAAGTCTAGCCAGGAACTTTGCTCTTATTCTTTATATTTCGATTTAAATATTTGATTTCGGGCCCGAAAAGTTATCGGGACTTTCGAGAAACGGGCCCCAGGTCTGAAAACGGGTATGGAATTAAGGATCTGGTCTGAAAACGGATCGGGAATGGCATTTTTTTTGTCAGAAAGAGGGTCAGGATTTGGAGAACCGGGCGGCACACCCCCACCAAGATGCCAAGGAGTACCCCCCCGGACTTTCTCATTATTATATCCACTTGACGTTTCTGTTTGAAAAGTGGCACTTTTACAGTCTGATGAAATTTATACGATGCTACTTTCACTTTTAGACAATATAACGAGCCTCAGTGCCTTAGCATAACATAATAACTGTATCCATGGCAACTGTGCAACTCTCCGATTTTTCTCCTATTTTAGAAATTTTCGTTCCATGAATTTTTATTTTGGTGGGATGAAGAATGCAAATTGCTGCTTCACGAATGTAAAAAATAAGGGTAGATATCATTGAATTAACTTTCCTTGAAGGTAGTGGATAGCCTGCGAGCAAGCTCTCTGATCGAGCCAAGAGAGTAAAGTTATAGAAGAGAGGGCGTGTCAGTTGTGCAAAGAAGAGAGTTGAGTTTGACGTTATTTTGCATCGATCTCCAGTGTTTAGGCCTGAGCGCTGATTAGAAAGCGGTCAGCTTTCAGTTACTGTAATGGACAGCAAGTATTTTAGAAGAAAGAAAATTAGAGCATCAGAAAGATCCGAGTATTATGATTCCAGTCATAGCCGTTTCTGCTTTTAAGGGCCGCTGGTCAACGTGACAAGTTTCTACCCTGCATTGAAGAAGGTCACGTGGAAAGATTTTGATTTTTATGACTTATGCATTAATGAGACAAAGGTTCTGTGATCAAAGTTCTTTATGACACAACTTCCTTTTGGATAAATGACAATTCTAAATCTTTAAAATGAATGTAAGAGATGACTACAATCGTAAGCGGACTAATCTCCAGAATGAATAAGTTTTTAAACGAATCATAAGTATCGTTCGCGTGTGTATCCTCAAAGGCACCCAACGAACGAACCTTTGTAAACAAGTCAGAAATGTCTAAAACGCATTATCTATGCTTTAGAAGTCTGTTTCGTTAATTTGGAGCTGCCCTAAAGGCCACCTATCTGTTCGCCGGATGTTTCGGGGAACTTTTGAAACTTTTTGTCTCAAGCGTTTTAGCTACGACTTCGCGAAGGGTCTTGCCAAAACTGGCGGAGTAACCATACTTTCATTAGGACGTTTTAGGGGACGATGTTTTCTCATACCAAAATTTTCAGGTAAACTTTTTTTTACCAATAATCACCAAATCTTGGAAATAAAATGTGAAGAATTAAGTTCCGAAAATGGTAGGGAAGTTAAAAGAAAAACTCAGGCGCTCCTAATAGGGTACATGAATGGGAGAGGTTATCCAGAAATTGTTAGCCTTTATTATACTTTAGAAATTGTTAAGCAATGTTAGTTCATACGAACAGATATTTCACAAAAAGACATTCCCAGTTGTGTGCACCTCTATCCTGTAATCGCATAATCTGCTCCAGCCGTAAAATTTATTCTTGGTTTATAAGGGGTGAAGTGAGCTTATACTGAATCACTTGACATCATGGTGGACATACTGGTGTCAGGCTAAACAATGAAACGGTAGCCATGTTAAACATGGTAGCCTTGAAAAGGTCATGGAAAAGTCATGGAATTTAGATAGCTCAAAAGAGTATGAACCCTGTATAGCTGTTCTAGCTTAGCTTGCGACCAGACTCCGTATTGGGGGGGAAAGGAAAAAAAACATGCAAGCGTAGCGAGCCGAGCGGTAGCCTAGAGAGGGGAAAGGCTTTCTCCTTCCTAGACCACCGCTCGGATCGCGAGTTTCCTCACCCCGATTTTTGCTAGACGACGAGTAGTCCTCAGTTTTCCTCAGGGATAGTAAAGCGAGCGAAACGCGAACGCACGTGAAAATGACCCCACACGAGAAAGGCGAGACGCCGCGTCTGCACTGCGGAGCCTGGACTCAGGCTAGTTCTAGCTCGGTTTTCAGGCACTGCATTCTAAGACCATGAAACAACTGATACAAACAAAACATAACGATAAAAAAAAACCCCGGTACCCCAACAGGCAGGGGCTGTTAAGTTGACTATATATTTCTAGCCGAATTTTTGAAAACGTTAACGCCAGTGTTTTTTCGGCCAAAAACTATCTCCAAGGTAGCCATGATAAAAACTAAGAGTGCTACCATTGCTTTTTTCTCTTCTCCTCCTTTCTTTCTCCTCACTCTTTCTTTTCCTCCTTTCATTTTCCTTCGTTAATGTGATTTTGGAGTTCATCGGGCTTAAGAAACCTGTCTTTTGACGCCTTATCACTCAAATGACTGCAAATTTCATTAGCCTGGTTATCAAAAAATCGGCTAGATTTACAAGCAAAAGAAAAAGGTTGGGTGGAGACCCTCTTGTTTTAGTCGCGTCTATTTGAACTCGCTCATGCAGGTTCAAAAAGAGAAAGGAAAAGTCTTCTTTGTATTTTCACGTCCTTCATAAAATGTCGCATTAAAACGTTTCACGTCGTAGTCGTGCAGTGAAAAGTTAGTTCATTGGACGTCAAAGAAATTTACTAAAAATCGTGATGCACTTGCAGGGCTGTCGTTTTGTTCATAGACTGTTTATCGACGTTGTTGTTATGGTCGTCGTTGAGTGTTTGCTAAAGCTCCTTGGTAATCTGTGCTTTCATTGGTGTGACGATTCCTCTTCGTAAGTGGATATATCCCAACGGCTGTTTCTTACTGTCCACTGTCGCTTGCAGTATTTGAGGTATCCACAGCCATCACAGAAGAAGAAGATCATTACCATGACTAAAGGTAATGAAAAAATATTCTATTGCGTGAGCAGTTATAGCCTGCGATCAATTATAAAATAACTAAGATAGCACGCGCGTTCTGATTAGTTAAAAACCTATAGTTTATTGTGCCGGTAGACTCATAGAAAGCTTAAAGTTATTTTATAAAAAAAATAGACCTCACTTTCTATGGGTTTTCAGGCACGATAACCCACTTGGGATGTTGGGAGAACACGATGTGTATTAAATGAGCTTCTCGACCCTCGAAGTACCTATCATTCCAGGTTGAGATTTTTTTAGAGAAATATCTCATGTTAAAAATACCATCTCCGAGCCTCTAGATTTCAAAATTTTCTGAGGGAGGATGCCCCCAGATCCCTTCCCCCCACCCCGCTCCGCCAACAAACTCGCGTCTCCGGCGCGAGTTTTCAAGCACAGTCCCCTCAGTTGTAATGCGCTCTGCAGTCCCTATTCTCACGTTTTCCCCGAATGATTAGAGATCTTGCTCGTATGCTAGAGCAGTCATTTAATGGAGCCTAAGCCAATTGTGGAATTGAAAACAATTTAGGTGAAGGGGTGATGCGGCGTAGTCGAGTCATGATACAGGGATAGCCCACAACACGCATTAACACGCAAAGAACCCAGGCCCCGTTTGGCAAGATTGACCGGAGGAAACACTTGCCTTTCATTGTGTTTACAAGAGAGAACGATTATCCTCTCGCTAATGCAAGGGAATCGGGGTTGGAAAAGGAGAAAACAGCTAGTTTCTTTCTTTTTCGCGTTTGTTCACACAAAAACGATAATCCGGCGTTTACGTGAGAAAAGAAAACTAAAACGAAATGGAAAATAAAAATCCATTTTTAAATCTATCTGGGTACGTGTGGACGGGGCTTTTATGCGATAAAATGGACAGACCGTAGCAAACAGTTTAAGCCCAATAGTCAGCCATCAGCAGTTGCGGATCCAGACCTTCGGGGGGGGGGGCGCTCATCCAGATCCTGGGATAAGGGGGGTCCGGTCTCAAAAAGAATTTTTTCGACCCTTCTGGCCTCATTCTGATCCAGAAATAAGGCAGGGCCCCCCCCCCCCCCCTCCGGGCCCCTTCTTTGGGTCCGCCACTGGTCAGCACAGAGCTGCCAACCTCCAAAAGGCAAAAAAATGTGAGATTCTGAACAACAACCTCGTTCCCAGGGTTCTCTCCTACCCGCCCCCATGGAGCGAGAGAGAGAGAACTACTCCCTCTCGCTCCATGGGGGCGGGTAGGAGAGAACCCTGGGAACGAGGTTGTCTGAACAAGAGCTGGGAAAGGTTGTGAGAAATGGGTGAAAAGTCGTGAGATGTCGCAAATTTCCCAGCGGAAGGACTTTCAGTGAGGATTATGGATATTGGAGGTCACGTATCACTTTAAAGCTGGAGCAGTGAACATCACGACTTTACGATTTAGGTTTTGTAATTTCTATGTTTTGTTGGCGGCCAAACAGTAAGTCTGCACATTTTGTGGGAGCGGCAAGTCGAGGTAGGCAAAAAGGATGTAGTCAAACGCAACCGCTAAGCGTTTTATTTTGGATTTAGCTCGGTATCTATTGATATCTAACTCGGAAACGAACCCTACACCTCCAAAATTCTTTTGGAGTTTGACCTTTCGAGAAAGTGTGAGAAATCAGTTTCTAACTCGTGAGAGCGTGAGATAAGTCGTGAAATCGTGAGACTCACGACAACGTCGTGAGACCTAGCAATGCAAGTCTGTCAGTATCTTATTTTCCATTTTACGAAAAAGGTTTTTATCTGCAGAAAGCGCCCCTGTTAGGTCAGATAGGAGAGAGCCAGGGAAAAGCGCCCTGGGGACGAGGTTGTTTTTTTCTTATATTCTTATTTGTATGATGCCAAACTTACTTGCAAAACAAAGCAGGATTAGAGTTATGCAGGTCACCGTGAAACATTTCTTCATCACTGCAATCGTAATAATCAGAACCAAAACGATTCCATGCAGGATATGAACCGTAAACACTGCCAGAAAACTCAGGAAGGATCCCAGATCACATGGATAGCGCCACTGAAAAAACATACAACCATTAGACATGTTTGATTAGGTTCGTACTGCTAAAGGTGGTGTTACATGAGACGATTCGCAACGACGATTTTAAAGTATTCTGACATATTCATTAAATGAGAGTGGAAGCTCTGAGAGTGAAAAACAAATTAAATGAGTTCTCACGATGGTGGTGATTACCCAATCGACTTGACGACAGTAATTTGACTTGGTGTGTTTCAAATTGTCATACCTCTTTCAATGGCTTACGTCCCTCTTTTTTGATTTTCATTTTGTATTGACACAGCTCACAGTGGAACCTGTACGTCATTTTGAACCATCGAAGCACGCAGCTTTTGTGGGCGTACTTTGTGGTGCCTTTGCAGCGACACACCCTAACAAGTTCTTCCACGTCCCTATTTCCATGGCAAATACGACAAATGTCTTCTTCCTAAAGGGAAAAATAGAAAAAAATTAATGTATCGCAGAAAATATATTTCTGCTGCCAACAACTTAAATTCAGGCCCTACTTAAGATGATGTTACACGCGAAGATTCGCAACGACGATTTTTAGCTCAACGCAGCGTTGCAACATTGTTGCCACGTTGTTTCAAATGGTTACAACATTGTTCCAACACTGCAACGCAGTGTTGGGCTAAAAATCTTCGTTGCGAATCGTCCTGTGTAACATCACCTTTAGTGGGCCGCCAATAAACCCGCCTCATGTATCGTTCTGGTGATGGTTCGCAACGCTAAGGTGATGTTACACGAGACGATTCGCAACGACGATTTTTAGCTCAACAAAGCTTTTCAACATTGTTGCAATATTGTTTCAAATAATAACAACATTGTTCCAACACTGCAACGTTGTGTTCGTCGTTGCGAATCGCCTCGTGTAACTATCACCTTAAGGGGCGTCAGTAGCGTTGGGAAGTGATAAGAGTTGAAGTGGCTGCATTTGCAGAGCACGACTTAAGTTAAGAGAGGTTCTCAATGGGTTTGTCGCCATTGACGGTTGACGATTAATTTTTTCCAATGCAATTGTGGACGGTTGTATTTTAAAGCTTTTGACGGTTGACGGTTATTAGTGTAAATTTAGTCCAAGAGTTAAAGTAAATATCAACTTCTGTAGGAATAAATTTTGGTCTTTTGTGTTGTGGGGGTTGTCTTGGCCTTTCACTAATAAAATTTCGAAATTTTTTCAGATATAAGTAAATCGGAAGGTCTTGTAAGACTTGTAATGCCTAACCTAGAGAGAGTGTTTTTGAGAACATGGGAACTGGTGTTCAAGTTTAGATATCTCTGATTCTTTGATATTCTTCAGGAGCCAGAATTCAGTGAAGATCAGCTGAAATACAGTCGACTCCCGATAACTCGAACCCTCGCTAACTCGAACCTCGCGCTAACTCGAACCAAAATCTATTTCCCTGGAATTCCTTTATACCGTTTATGGTAAATTTACCCTCGGTTACTCGAACCCTCAATAACTAGAAGAAATTTTGTTTCCCCGGCTTCAGATCATTTCTATACACTCTTACCCTCGATAACTCGAACCATGTTTTAAGCGCTTGACAAGTCCAAAAAACGTAGTGAACTGGAGTCCAAAACATTAATTTCTCTTAAAAGAACCGTGTATTCTTTGTCTTTAGGCTTCTTTACTTTTTTGTCAGTCCAATTCAAATACAATGTTTAGCACTGTACTAATTTAATAACCAACCTTTGTTGCTTTTTCCTTTTAAAAATATCGGTATATTCCCAACTGCCCTAAAGCGAATTGCGAATTTGTGAAGAGAGGATTTATTGTTCAAAGTGTTTAGTTGTTTGCTTTCGCTGATAAAGATATGAAAAGCCAATGTAGAAATCATTTATTCTTTAGTCTTAAATTCTTTAAGCCGTAAACAATCTGTTGATTTAATTTATTGAGCGTAAACTTATTTGTCAAGTCATAATTGTATTTAGTCTTCAAGCTGTAATCAACGTCCTAAGGCCCAGTTCAAACGTCGAATTTCACAGGTGCCGAATTTAATTGCTATTTTAGTCGACTAAAATAGTTAAATACGGCATTTGATTCAAACGTCGAATTTAACTCACTGAACTCTGTCGAATTTAACTCTCTTCGCTCTCAATATTCCCAGTAATATAATAATAATTTACAAAAATTCATTCATTAAGTTCGGCACATGTGAAATGCGACGTTTGAATCAAAAGTCGAACCTAAGTCGAATCTTCGACTGTTTCAGTCGCAGATACGGCAAACGTTGCATTTAATTTAAACAGTCGAATTAGTTGATTCAAACGTCGCACTTCACATGCATTTAAGTCTCGCGTTAAGTTCGACACATGTGAAATTCGACTTTTGAACCGGGCCTAAGAAGCCGTTATCCACCTGTGAAGCTTTGGATTCAAAAGAAGCTTAGGTTTCCACCAATAGCCGTTTAGAACTGATTGTTGTGCTTTGTAATTTGACTCGTTGAGTTGTGATGTAATCTGTATCGCTTCGCTAGTTTAGGCTTTTATTACATCCACTTTGAAATCACTGGCTATCCGTGCAATCTGATTGGCTCTCAGCGGTGTGATTTATTCCTAAATTGCACCATTTTTTGCTCTAAATCGCATCTGTTCCAAATCGCGTCATTCATGTTCTAAATCGCATCCTTTCTGTTTTAAATCGCACCATTTTTGTTCTATATCGCATCATTTCTGTTTCGAATACAAAATGAGATGTAAAAGCCTTTTTGTTTCGGCTTTTTAGCGAACCGGCTACTCGATCAATAAAATATTAGTACTGACTAAATTCTGCGATTTCAAAATGGATGTAATAAAGTGGTAATTGAACTTCGTGTCGTGCAATTTTGGTCTGAAATCATACTTGTGATTTCAAATCGAACTCGCGCTGCGCGCTCGTTCAATTTTGAAATCACGCGTATGATTTCAGACCAAATTGCACTCCACTCAGTTCAATTACCATTATAAATTCGAGTGCTTTGTAGGAGCTTCTTCGGTTAAATCCTCTTTGCATCTAGTCTTGGTTACATTTTGGTTGGTTATGTTTTGACTGTACCCGCAGTATAGTCTTGGATTAAACTTATAATCATTGTCTCAAGGGTATTCAGCAGGCGTAAGAGATTCCGTGCCTTCCCGCAACCAGCGAGTGTCCCCAGAAAAAGGCCTTTCCCAGAGTTTTTCCCCGTCAGTCGATTAACCCTTTTGTGAAGGCAAAGCCTGTTTCCACACTGGTGGTTAAGTGAAAAAGCTGTTTCTCAGTTTCACACATTCCTCCCCCATCTATTTCCTTACTTCTGGCTATGTCGCTTCGAACTCCCGATAACTCAAACTGTTTTCGATTTCCCTTGATGGTTCGAGTTATCGAGAGTCGACTGTTTTTTACGGTTAATTTTGACCTGCGTTTGATGGTTTACGGTAAAAAAGTGACCTTTTTTGACGGTTAAATTTAAGGCCGTTTGACGGGTAACGGTTAACCTCATTCAGACCCTCTTTTAAAAGGGTTGTTTTTAAGTTGTAAGGAACAATGAAATAACGTAACAAACCATGCTTCCAATACTCAGCTGTCTTAGTTCTCCTAACTCCAGAACTGTAGGATTTTCTCTTGGTTGTAGGTCAATAACAAGTGCTAGGTTTCTGTAGCAATGAGCTCTTGGTTCTTCATTTGCGGTCTCATTGCTGCTATTTCCAGTTATGCCAACAGCAGCTCCGGTTATCTCGTGCCTTGATTCTGCAACTTCAGGTTGAGGGTGAATCTGTGTATTGAAAAGGAAAGCGACCAATCTAGTAAGGCAAAACACTGAAAACCGAGGATTTCACCACTGGGTCCGGGTTATAGTGGTATCTGCCTCTTAGAGAGCCTGCGGAAAACTGGCAGTTGGGAAAAGGAACTTGGCCTCGACTACGATTCGTGCAACGAGAGCGTTGGACATTGAGCTACAGATCCTGAGAGTGACCTTGCAGCTGATCGCACAAGGTGGAGAACTACCCTGAAGTAACACCTTAATGCAGGGGAGGAGACGTTGATGAACGCGGCGGCAGACAAACGGGCACAGGAAGGATCGCAATTTCTCCGTCAGATTAGACATCACTTTCACCTGTGACTTTTGCGGACTGTCACTCCAGTATTGGTCCCGGCTACTGCCACAAATGACGCTGCTCTAGCCGAGCAGACAGCCAGAATTACTAAGATGCCTGGAATGAAAAGTTGGCTCCAAGGGTAGTTTGAGCAGGCGAGTGACCCTTCTACCCGGAAAACCGGTTTCTACATATAAACGGGTCCCAACTGGCATGGACAATGTTTTATGCCTTATGATGATGAGGAATTATGAAGACCCAGCGTGAAGTGAAACGTCCAAAACAAAGAAACATTAGGTGCTGAAAATTCCAGATTTAAGGATAAAACAAAGTTCCTGTTGCAAGCGAAGTAGTAGTAGTTCCTTTCGGGCATCATGCGTAGACCGTATAAAAAACAATGACGATAAATCAATATTAAATATTCAGTCCGTACAAAAGAACATGGTCCATATTCATTTTTTTATCCTGTGTCAGTAAAACGCGGGGTCGGGCTCCGGGCAGGGACCCGGGTCTATCTTTTTTAAAGAATGCTTTAGGGTTAGGGTTTAGGGTTGACACTAACCCTAACCCTAACCCTTAAACAGCATTCTTTTTGAAAAAGATAGACCCCCACCCCGGCCCAGACCCCGGCTCCGGCCCCGGTCCCGACAAAGACCCCGACTCCTCGTTTTATAGACTTTCAAAAAAGTCCTTCGTCGGATAAAGCAAGTCTACTCGTTTTACTAACAGCCGCTTTTTTTAGCCGGTCAGACCATACCAGTTGCAAATAAATTGCTAATCAAAATAATATTAACTTCAAGTTGAATTAAGATTAGCATGTAATATTCTAAGAAGCACGTGTTTTAGGTCCGATCACCGGCCTATTGTGAATTTCTTCATATTCGCTTCTTTTGCGTGGTAGGTGTTGCTATAAGTTGTGTTTTTGATCGTTGTCAAATCTAATTTTGTACGGTGGTCGTATAAAACGGTTTTGAAATCAGTATAATAATGAGCTCGTTAGATCGCAAATTTGGCTTTTCATACTTTTTACTGTGCGAATTATTGCTTTTAAAAACCATTGATCGATAATTTACAATCGACTACATTTTTGACCAGACAAAATACAAAACTTTTAACGTAAAGGTACACAGATAGTGTATTTTTATTTTACCTATGTTTGTATATTAAGAGCAAACAAGGAAAAAAAATCGTCTGTTGCTCTCGGAAAATGAGTTCGCTCTGAGTGTCCACAATGCGTTTTTGTTTCCAGACGCAGATGGTCCCTCTATGTTTCCGGCATCTGTCTTGGTCGGAGTTAAAATTTCAATTTTTTTTTCGTGGTCATTTCGTCGTACAAATAATTTTTCTTAATCTTAAAGCTACTCGTGACACTGTTAAAACTCTTGCCAGTTACCTGCTACCCGAAAAAAAAAACACACTACCAAATGAAATTTTGTGTTAACTGAGTTGTTTGTAAGATAACTAATTATCTAATGAACTGAGGACATTGATTTAATACCTGAACCATATCTTTCCTAGGTCGCCGTTCACTTCAGCTTCAGCGATCTTCGCCTTAAAATGTTAAATGGGACAAATAGATCTAATTTTCTAATTTCTACTTTGAATCTCAGTGGAATACAAAAGCTTATTTTGCGCTCCAAACTGCCCTCCTTCTGGCAAACGACTTACGTGCTAAAATAAACTGGACCGAAGGGGCACTGGTTTTGTTTTCATTCCGGTTTTAAATTCGCTTCGGTTTGTAGACCCAATCAAAACCCTTGATGTCCTCAATTGTTAAAGATCATTACAAAAGAAAGTCTTTTTTGTCATAATTATAGAACGGTTTCCACAAATTGCCACTTGCCGCTGCAACTTTGGTATTGTTTCACTATGCTTTGTGATTGGCCAATTAATCTACCAATCAGGGCCCAGTTGTTCGAAGGCCGATTAGCGCTTCACCCGGAGTTAAATTTAACCTGGGTTTCTTTTTCTTGTGTTCTAAAGCATTTTCTAGGATAATTTTCTCTGTTATTTTTAGAGCTTCTAATCATCATCTTGTAGACAAAAAGAATTGATACTGAAATGCTATCTGAATTCAAATCTCGCACTAACCCTGGGTTATCTTAACCCAGCTTTGAACAACTCAGCCCAGAAGTAAAACTTCAAACAAAAGCAATCGTGAGTCGCTTGTAGGCGTTTTCCTTCTCCAGGCGTCGGAGACATACATTTGCTCTGAGTTCTGATTGATTAATGGGATTCCAGCTTTGTCCATGATTAAATAGAATAATCACTCTGGATTTTGATATAAAGCGTTTTCACGTGACGTCACGTCCACCATTGGTTCTTGTGGTGTACCAAAACAATAAAACGGCGGCCATTTTGGTACCCTGGCTGCCAAAGGTTTCTTTCCTAGTTCCCAATAGTTTGCGGCCAAGCCGCCCCAGCGAGGCGCGAGGCGCCAAGACAGCTTTATCAGCGTCATTTATCAGCCTCTCGGGAGCTTTATCAAACCATGTGCACGGTTATTTCATCTTAGGTATTTCGAGAAAGGACCTCTGAAGCCAGAGCACCATGTTGGTGCTCAAAACCAATCCCGTAAGAGTTGAAACTCTTCAGGGCTGTCAACCCCCCAATTGTTCATATTTTGAGAATTGATAGGGAAGGGATGTTAGATGACGTCATAACGCACGGCACATGACGCCATTTGTGCAAAAAAATACTTGTTGACTCCGATTGTCATGCATATTTGCGATGACGCAAAACGCGCGAAAAAGGAAAAAAGAGACTCGCTATTTTGCAAAACGTTTTCGCCATTAATCTGCTTTGAGCAAGAAAAGACCATAGAAAAGGTTTCGAAGAAACTGTATACAAGTAAGTTAAAGGAAAAAAAGAAGGCAGAGACGAAAAATAGCGTTTGGGACTGAAAAGCACAAATCTTCAAGTCGTGCGGTACGAGGCAGGTATGTGTATCGGTCTTGTTTGTTTTCTGATCATTGTGTAAAACAAATAGATAGTATGTTGCCGTGGGTCTGTTCAGTAATAGATCACAGGGGACTAAAAGTGGTAAAAACATCAGTGACACACTCGCCTGCGGCTCTTCTTTGTATTTTGAACTATTACTGAACAGACGCAAGGCAACATGCAATGTATTTGTTAAATGGAATAATATACCACTAGAAATTAGATCTTGTGAGAGTTTGAACGATTTTAAGAATAAATTTAAGCCAACATGATGGCCCTTTTATAGTTTAGTGGTTTTTGAACTGAAAGCGCTTTTTTATCAATTAGTTTTGCTTTTTTTAATTCGTTTCAATTTAATGTAATGTATGAACAATATTTGTAATATTTTAGACATTTCTTGTAAAGCACCATTGGGCATCGCTGAAAATGGCGCTATATAAATAAAGCATTATTATTAATATTAATATTAATATTAGCGCTATCCGCTATCCTGAACAACTGGCGCGTGAAAGGTAACCAACGGTTTCAAAAACGTAAAACTACTACGCGTGTATGCTCATCAGCATGGCATGACCTTGAGACACCTTTACGACTAAGGCCGGTTCAGGGTCCCGTTACTGCCCGCCGAGGAGAGTGTAAAACACTCCCCTGAACTAGAATATGACGGCTGTGCCATGCTGACGACTCGCTAATGAAACAGCTGTCTATCAGCTGCCGTGCCACTGCCAGGGTGATATGATAGCTGTACGCATGCGTGAGGTACTGGCCATGTGGGCAGGTGTCTGTGTGTGTAACTAGATATAAGGTTCATTGTTCCTCAGGTTGTGTTTTTTCAGTTATTTTCGACAAAAGAGTCAGAAAGTAAAGACGCATTAAGAAAAATCAGCCTTGTTCTGATGTCAACAAAAGGCGCTGAAAAGCAAATCACGGGTCATGCCTCCCCGAATAAAGTGATCACTTGACCATGGCAACCCTTCTGAATTTTCTTAAAATACCATAAAATATTTCTATGCCAAAGTTAGGGCTTTCCCCTGATGTGTAACGTTTTCCTGTGAGCAAATACGCTAATGAGATTAAGAGTAAATTGAGTGAAGCTTGACAACTACCGTAATCATAAAAAAACACGGTCATACTGGTATGTAAAACAAATCATAGCATCACAGCAAGGTAGTTGTTCACAGTCAGGGGCACTCAACGAGAATATACTTCAAAACCACTTAAAAATAGCATTGTTAAACGTATTTTAGGTAGATATAGGAATATTTTTATCCGCTAAAAATTTTACATCTGTTCGGATTTCTTAGCTGAAAGTCTAGTGATCCGAAAATTGTAGGGATCAAAAGTTACCTTTTCAAAAATTTCCGCCAGAAAAAAGGCTCCGGAACATTCTAGGTGACCTTTTTAGGGTAAAAATCCGCTAAAAATGGTCAATAAAACCATTTTTTAGATGTTCGAAAATCTTAGGAGAGGCAGGCAGGCAAGAAATTTTTACAAAAAATGTTCCGAAAATTCTAGATCTCAAATCGTCTTCCGAACGGATGTTTTCTGAAAATTGACGTTGGGTGCCCCCGCACAGTTTTGGGGACATTATTCATATTCTCGCACCCACTTCTACCAACCCTGATCGAATAAAAGATAAAATAGGCAATTTCGATCAGGTAAGGCTGCCAATTCTTTCAAAATCGAAACCAATGCAAAAGCATGGGAATTGCAAGTTGGTATCTGAGACATTTTTTAA